TATGGGACACAGATGCGACCCTCTTCCACATTATTTTGGACTCCGAAGGTGCCATCGTCGATTTTGCCATGGTGGGTGGCCTCTCCTCGTGCCTTTGGGCACACTTAGAGGAGGCGGGCATCTGTCACAATCGAGCCGTCCTGCCTGAGCTCCTGGATCGTGCTGCAAAACAGTGCGATGTTATTAGAAAACAGCTTATGTGAATCTGGGGCCTGTTATTCCCCATGCACATATCTGTAAATAGATTTTCTATCAATGACAAAGTCTTTTTCTGCACTTGCTTTTATATGCTTGGATTGCATCACTAGGGAGACGAAGAACTTAATCTTCGTCTGACGTTAAGAGCGATTTTTCAGCACACGTCTAATCAAACTGACGCCCAGGAATTCAACCCAGTTGCCTACTTATCTTAATCCTTTAGCTGATCGCGTTTCAATCATTTTGGAAAGAAAGCATTAATCCTTAAGTTTACCGACCGGATCCATAGATTCCGGCCGTATTAACTTCTATCCCAATTCATGTTGGGATCTACTCGATCCCTAGTTACACCAGCTACTTATTAATATATCGAAGACCAAAGTTGAACCAGGTTGCTGAACAGTCACCGTGTTCGAGATTGTGATGCAGCTGACTTCCTTAGACAAGTGCTCAATTCTCAAATTGACATCTTCTTAGCCAGTACGACCTCGTAACTCCTGATACGCAACTGGGTGCATTTTTTCGGTAAGACGCGGGAATAGGACCATCCTCGTAGCACAGGTGACCCTCAGCTACATTCCAGAGATTATTTTCAAGTTTAGGGTTAGGTTTAATGTCTGCGTTGCGATTAGAATAGGGGATAGGTACCCTTCCTAAAATTCAGTCTAAGGGCACATATATTACTAGGATGGGGTATGCGCGTTACTACTGCCATGTCTTACCTTTCGTTCCGTGAAGGATTTGTGTGATTTCTCCAGGTGGTGTGACTTTTAAGATGTTCTCTCATTAATTACATTTATTTTGAGATGGAGATCCTGCTGACAGGGATAAAGGAGATGGAAGTTGCTACTTTTCAGTTCAATCCCCAGGACATACCAGTCATATCCCACCTGCCTTCCGGGACGACTTAAGATCTGAATCCGGATCTGGTTGGTTATTTGCCTGGATGTTCTACCGATTATGTGACGGACACATTGTGCCGGTTGGAAGCCACCCCAACCGCATGAGCATTCTAGCAGAAGGCTAGTCGGGCACCGGAACAGTTGGCTTAATATCCAGAACTTTCTGCACATCGTCAGATATAGGAGTAGGAACTGAAAAGGCTGCATTTATAGGAAATACAGGCTGACCAATGACACAAATGTGGAGGGGACTGTGCAGGGCTCTGTACGCCAGTGCTAGATCGGTATACCGACTGATTGAGGTCCTATCCAACCAATTGTTCCGGCGTTCGACCAACCGTCTTATTTATTCATTAAAATGTCTGGGACTCGACCTTTCGCACCTACTCATTTTTAGCTCATACACGTTGGCAGGCACTCGATGGTCGTATTTCGGACTGCATTGTGTATTCATAGTCGCAGCTGAAATGAGCTGGGTCTGTGGGTGTACTGATAGAACGCTATGCCCACTGACAAACTCGTCCCAGGCTCAGAGCTGTGCCGGGTGCTGGCGACAGACGATAGCAAATAAGCCACAAACGACCAGTTAGATCCCACCTTTATTTGTTAGTAATCTTGGTTCAGTAGTAATTAGGGGAGAGATGTTAAGGGATCAAAGGGGTCAGACCCCTGCTCCCTCTCTGGTCCCTAATCATGACTAGAATCTGACTCCATTTGATCCCTTAACACCTCTCCCCCTAATTGCTACTGATAGGTTGCCTAATCTGAACTCATTAAGCTCAGGCGCTTGAGCTCGATTGGGCGGCTGTTCCAGTTATCTGACGTATCGGTCAAAGGTAAGAAAAATTGGCATTGAAATCGTTAGCACAAGAGCTGATTATCTACTCCACAAACCATCTCACTGCGACTGAAATGTTCGCGTGCGGAGGCAGTCATATACCCGAAAATGCCTTTTTTGTAAATTGCTAAACCTTCTGACCCGATTTTTGGCTTTGGCGCATTGGCACGTACCTCGCATCCAGTTAAAGCAGAAAACAGTTGACTGATGTCCTCCCAATCGTCCACATCCAAACCTTAGTGTTTACGTCTTTTTGGAATTTCTCCCACGATCATTCGAGCAGCACCCCTACTTCTGGAAGCTCGTGTTTATCTTGCGTCCCATGTGCGATTGTAGCTTCTTGTGCGTCTGCCTTTTCCATCAATTGGTCATGGCTAGGCATCGTACGTTGATTGATACTGAATCCAACAGCGAAAATTCTTGTTCTTACTGTCACATCTCGGAGTCTTGTTTGTGTGTGGGCGACTGACATGACTACGTGAATGAACAAACCGAAATTCAGCTTGAGCCAAGAAGCAAAGCTAGCATATCAAAACCGTAGCAATTTGTGCACGGGTTTGTCGCCACATAGCCCCTCCTGTCTTGTCGATTTAAATGCGTGCGCCTCCTCACAGATTGCCCTACGGTCGTGATGTTTTAACGATTGGCTGAATATCACGGCATTAAAGCTGATTGAACTGGCAATAAACAGTCCATATTACCTTCTGTTCAGAGTACGGGCTTTCCAATATTTGCTCCGAATGAATAGCTGTTCTGATTAGCTGGAGTGTATTATAAACTAAAGCCGACGGTAGTTTTAGAACGCGGCGACAGGATGAAATAGTACGTCCTCATTTGATCCTGCCACCAGACCGCATGCTTGAGTTTCATTCATATGTGACTGACTTACATCTTTCCCCGAAGGATTCCGACTTTCCGCTTTTCATAAACGTTTTCCACATTTAATTCTGCATCTATGGTCATTGTTTCTGCTAATTCTAATTTGTAATTTCAGCTCAGGGGCCCTCCAAGGCATTCGAAATATGGCTCTGAAACTGAACTCAATAGTCAGAGGAAGGGTATGTAATCTCTCATTCTATACTTCCGGTTTTCCTAGAAGTCTGATCCCTCAGGCTAATTGTGTGCATACGGGCGTTTCATTCTCTGCACAATCTTTAAATTCCTGTATGCGATTATCTCCTTTATGCCGTTGATCCACGCTACTCGATACTAGTTAGTACACATTGTTTTACTGTTAAAATAAAACCATTGTCTCATTCTCAAGGTTGTTTCTGTCAAAGACTTCGGCGCATTCGTTACCATTGAGGGATCGACCAGACAGGGCCTCGTGCATCGCAGCCAGATATCAAACCACCGAATAGATGATGCTTCAGAAGTCTTGGAGGTCGGCGAGGAGGTGTTTTGCAAAATAATCAGTGACGAGGTGAGTTTATTCCCGTAGTTGTTCAACTACTCTTCTATTCTAGGATGGCAAAATCGGGCTCAGCATGAAATTTGTTAACCAAACATCTGGCGATGACAAGGACCCAAACAACGTTTTAGCAGCGTGAGTGCCCGTCGAATTTCCATAGCTTTCGCCTAGTTCGGCTTTCTTTGAAGTGTATTTTGATAAAAGAATTGGTGTTAACTGCGATTTTCTTTCTCTTTAGACAGCAAGCGAAGAGAAGATCAGGTCCTGGTCGTGAGCAAGTCCCAATTCGTTTGGAAGCGGAACTGAACACACTGTGCACGCGTTGCAAGGGCAAAGGTCGGTGGACATTTTTTTAGGATCCTGTACCTCTGTTCTATCCGAGATCTCCGTTCAACGTATAACTATCCCCTCATTTTGGATATCTTAAATTCTCGTCTGTATATCTTAATCGTTTACTGTGCTTCCATATCCGTCGTTTGGGCCGGAATCTTTTGTATTTGGGTCAAGTTGGAAAGATTACTTTGGTGGATTTGTAATATTAAATATTGTGCAGCATGTTCGTCAGATGTATCAGTGCCGTCAGGATAACGGCTTTTGAACGAACTAGTCTGCGGTGGCCCATAAAAAAGGAGTGATGTAAGCATGACTACTTAAGTAGTATGAGATCGTTGCATTACGTTTTGACGCCCTTATAAATTCAAATATACTTTGTGGAACTAATGCCGCTCCCCCCAATCTGACCATCATATAAACGCTGCAATTAACTGACCATTTTTATTCCCCATGTCATATACCGGCCTGATGATGAATGACCGAAAACAGTTGTTTGCCAATACGAACTTTTAACGCATAAAAATATCCTTGTATTTATTTGATGGTAAATTGCATGGCAGGAGTTTCCTTGGTAGCGCACACATGTTCTTATTTATATTTAAATGCCTACTCCAACGCTTCCCGTAAGATAGAAACTTGGGGGATTTTACATGCGATATCACTATCCCAACCTAACCCTTACCCTAAACCTTAGCCTTACCCTAACCCTTACCCTAACACCTACCCCAACCCTTACCCGAACCGTAACCCCAGCCCTTACCCTAACCATAAACCTAACCATAACCCTAACACTTACCGTAACCCTAACCCTAACAGAAATTAATTGTGTAGGCATTTAAAAAAAATAAGAACATATGTGCGCTACCAAGGAAACTACTGCCAATTGCATCTTATTTGAAATCTTTTTCTTGAAAAAAGGGATAGTTTTTGGTTTTCGTAAAAATTCTAATTATGACACTTTTAAAGACCGTATCATGTCTCTTTATAAAGCATTCCATCTGTTGAGTAATTAATGCTACCTATATAACATGCAACATGGTCCACCTCTATTGCAAAATTTTATGAGCTCTATATAGAATTTTCGTGATATCGAATAAAAACGTATGATCTTCCTTCCACATTATATATATGATTTGTATTTTGAAAAGCCCCAATGCAAGTACAATACAAGTCGGTTCCAAATTATTCGAGAATTGAAGAGCCCTTTTAACACCCAGTTGTACACTTCAATTGAAAAATCTTAGGATAACTTAATTTTCTACCAGCTAATTGCAGTGAATAATATTTTATGGCTACTTTCCTTAATATAGGATTTATAAGGGCAGTTAAAACCAATGGGAAAAAATGCATCCTGCTTAAATGGTCCTTTTTGCTGAATGTCCTTTTTGCAGGCTACCGGAAAGAAGCTGGTTCACAAATCAGCATTCTGACAAGACCAAACTGTCTTCGGATTATGTTACATGATAGTTTATATTAACTCAAAAATACACTTCATAATTTTTATTGACGTGTCATCAACTGCATGTGGCCTCTTGTCCTGTTTTATGGTTTCGCCTCAAGTATTTGTTAAACTTCGGAGTTCATGAGCATTTTGTGGCTGCGTTTGATCTTTCGGCCGCCTCGCTCCGCAAGGTCACTACTGTTCATTTCCTATTTTCCTCTCGCAGGTCACATGGCAAACACGTGTTTTGTACGTCTCGGCGAACCTGCCCTCGATCTCTTGTATGAGCCGGACTCACCACCACCAGAAACATCTCCCGTGACTGCGTCGCCACCCAGAAAAAAGCGGGATTCTCACAGTAGTAAACGCAAGGTAGGCCCCACTGGTGTAGTCCTCCTCTCTACGGGCTGTTTCATGCGTAAAGAAGCGCATCTGCCAGCTAATAAGCCTGTTCTTACAAGGGAATTTATAGCTTGCTTGCAGATCGGATGGAATTCTTTCATCTGATCGCTGACAATACAGAAGGAGGCTCGTTGATGAACGTTCACCCGACCACTAACGGAACTCATCTGCCTGTTCTGCCTTGGGCCTCGAGAGGAGTCCTGACAGCCGTAGCAGCTGGAAGTATAGGCTATAGGATATTGTCAATATCTCCCGACCTCTTATCTACAGAAGAAAGCTGCTGACATCCTATTTACCTCCTTTTCTTCTGACTTAGGACCGAAAGCTGTTTGACGCGATACTCCACTTAGACAACTGCCAGGGACACTAATATGACAAGTTCGGGCTTATTAGTCGTCATCAGTCAGTGGAATGTCGGAGTGCCTGATTCTAGATGGGGTGAGGGGGGGTCCTCAGGTCTTGAGATCGCGACAATTTTGTGAGACATTTGCATGTCGGGAGTCAAGTTTTTTTTGGGGATACGTAGTTTCTACCATTCATAAATACCATTATTCCATCCTAAGATCCTTGTCTCTAAGCC